TGCATTTCCAATAGAGAGATAGTTAGAGAGAAAAGTATATATTCTCATGGCTTGTCTCATATGATGTATGTCTATGTGTTGTACTGTATTCTGTAGTCAAACTAAATGTTAAACAAATATATTTATGGATATTTATTACAGAATATAACGGTTAGAGAGCAGATCTACAGTACCAGCGCTACAGTACTCGTGACATACAGTTTGTCAAAAGTATATAATAAATGAATTCAAACTTAATTTGCTTTTGGGCTCAATTGGAAGTTAAATAATGGGTGGCGGAGAGAGTTTGGCCAAACTTGCCATCCGGTCGTCCATTTTGGGCAAACCAGACATGAAATACGCGGCGGCGAACGGATTGTTGCGGAAGTGGTCGACACTAAACTGTGCATTTGTAGCCGAATGGGAGGTAACGGGTGGCAAGTGATAGTTGGGCGCCGGCAGATATGTGCCACAAGGGTTCTGATTCATGTTGTACTGATGAGGATGTGTGGCCTGCGGGTGAGTGAGATGGGAATGGGCTGACAGTGACGACAGTAATGAAGAGGCGGCCGATTGGGAGTAAAGTGACGGCGAAGACCAAAAGTTGCCGAACGCGTCGTTATTGGCTTTGAGTGCCGCCGGCGTTAACTCCGCGCCTCTCATCTTCATAGTGTTGACCATCGCATTGAGATGACCTCCCGGTGCGTAAAGTGGCGGAACACTCAACGGGAATGATCGAGCGGTGGCCGCCTTTTCACTCTCGAGCGACATTCCGGCCACACTTACCGGTATATCACTCGGCGATGACGTGAAAGCCGCGAATCGCGCCATCGGATCAAAGGGTGAGCTCATTGATGGGCTCATGTATGCCTGCGCTGATCCCAAATAGCCATTGTCTTTCTTCACCATAGGCTTTGGCTTACGTCTGGGCCGATACTTATAGTCTGGATGCTCTGCACCGGTAGTGGGAAAAAGTAGTTGAATATAAATACAGTTATTTAACTGTTGAGTCGGTTCTGACACTCAGACAATATTCACACTAAATATAGTCTTAAAACTAAGAATTAAATACAAAAAACTGAGTGAATTTGTGTGACTGAAGAAGAAGGGGTTCCTATAATAACGTGTTTGAGTGGTGTCTGAGTGGGAACGACACTAATTGTATGCTTTCATGTGTAGTTTCGTACCTTTCATATGAAGAGCTCTCAACCTCTTTGCCTCATCAATGAAGGGTCTCTTTTCGGATTCAGTCAACAGTTTCCAGTCCTGACCCAAACGCTTACTGATCTCCGAGTTATGCATCTTTGGGTTCTCCTGAGCCATCTTCCGTCGCTGTCCTCTCGACCATACCTTTAGTGCAGACAATAATATTCACATATGTATTGTATATTCAGTCCCAAAACATAAGTATTTTCAACAATATATCAGTTGTTTTGTAGATATTTGAAAATAGCAATAGATATCAAAACTACTCATAAGTTATACGATATGTTTACTTAAATGAATACAATATCTAATAATTATTGATTCAAAACACTTATATCTAAGGCATGTTTTCCCATTATATTTGACTTATCGATAAACAACTTGATATACAGTATTTGTCGCATAAGTTATATTGTCTTAAATATGAGTTGAATTTCAAGTTTATATTGAATATATCATAAGCGCTGAGAATCTCAACGAATATTCGTTAATAATTAAGGAAAATAAATATTTGATAAAAAGATAAATATACTGACCATAAATGCATTCATCGGTCTCTTGACGTGATCATTGTTTTTGGACATCATTGCAGTCATAGTCATGTTTGCCGATAGTATTTGTTAGTAAAACTTTGGACACAGAGTAAGCAATTAAATCCCTTGCAATCGTCACTTTTGACACACAATTACAAAACAACAGTTAGTTTTGAAAAACACGAAAATATGCTTCAATTGAATGAAATGATAGACGAGATGAGTGTCTGAAGAGATGTGATATTAAACAGTGTCTAACTGTAAGCCAACACAAGCACTGTCTGAGCGCTAACTCCACAGCTTTCGGTGGTATAAGCGATAAGAAGGCGGTTCTGCACATCACTGCCGCCCAACTCGGCATCAATTGGTGTATCGTTTGCAACGATATCTGCTATTGGTCTCAATGTTAAGACGTGAACAGTGTTTGGATTTCACACCGAATCGAGTGTATGTGATATTAGGTTGTCATCAGTGATGTGTTGCCAGAAAACAGTGTAGTTTAGTGTCGGTTGTGTTGAGTAAGTGGGGAGAGAGAGAGAGAGAGAGAGAGAGAGGACCCTGGTACTTTGCTTGTGTGTATCAATGTATGTATAAATGCATTTTCTTTGGTCTCTAGCTTTCAATTCTTTATTATTTTAAAATGAATGGTATTTATTGTGTAGTGTATGAGAGGGAGAGGTGAGTGCCATGAGAGAGGCATCGGTAGTACGGGTGCAACACTCGGGTTGTATTGACTGTATTGAGCACTTGTCAAACAGATGTATTGCAAGTTTAAAAGCATAACAATAGAAATGTTCAGACATTAGAAATGATAAGAAGGCTGAAACCAAAAGCTCTTTTAGGGCCTAATAGTGTCCCCTCATTGACAGAGTGTTGGCTATTGTATAGTAGGGGCAGGTATTGTGTGAACACAATGATTGGCTATAGAAGATCGGGTCGTTTTGGTCGATCCATCTTTTATGGGAAAAAATTGTGATTCAATGCATTGAAAGCAAAATGTATTGTTATTTAGTTTCTTAAATACAATATCTTTAGTCGTGACAAATGACGTACAAAAATGCCGGAAAGCAGGACTTCTTTGCACTTTTCTCATTCAAATTATATATTCCTTTCTCCCTCTCATAAAACACACCAAATTCTACTACCAGTGCTGTAAATAAGCGATATAACCAAAGTTATACCAATGGGGTATAATGTAAATGCAATTTTAACATAACAATTCCTGTTAATAATGTACACCGACTCTACACTCATTCAAATCAATTCCACTGCCTTTTGTCACTAAAACCTAAAGAATTGATGATATTTTTCAATAAGAAATACTGCAAACCATTGATATTCTGTATTATAATACAGAATAGGGAGAGAGAATAAAATGTGAACAAAAATAGCAAAATTCTGGCTTTTATTCCATTGATTCTCTCTTTATATGAGACACTGTATAATATAATAGCATTTTCGTTGCAAATGTTGTCTAACAGTAAAAGGCATTCAATTTTTTAGCTACTCTTTCATTGCTATCGTTGTGTTGCAGAACATTGAAAGCCGACTAAAATCCCTGATTATTTAAAACCTGATCCCATGTTATGCCAAACACAGGCCTAACCATACAGTATCACCAGTGCCTTACTTACCCAGCAATCACTGGTAGTTTGCTTCCCAGTAATACTCTTATGACATTCACTTAAACACTGCTATAAGGATAAGGGTTATTACTTTTTTACTATCAAAATATAATCCTATGAATGGTTTCTATGAATTGAATAACAATAATAAAAATTTTATTTAAAATTTTATTTTCTATACATATTTTTCTTTTTTATAAACTGGTAAAAACGAAATGAATTTTATTTTACTTATTCTTTCTATTTGTTTAAAAGTAAAAATATTTTTTACTGTAGGGATAAGCAAGAGGTTTGTAAAAGAATTTGAAGTAATTTTAGTGAATAGTTTATTTTTTAAATTTTATAAAATAAAATAATTGGCTTAAAATGAGACTATAGAAAGTGAATTGAAAAATATGATTACTTTATCGTATAATAAGTTTGGATCAGTGGTTATCCCCTCATATAATATAATATAAAAGTCAATTTTATTATATAAGAAGTATATTTGAGAGAGAGAGAGAGAGAGAGAGAGAGAGAGAGAGAGAGATGCCTATGAATGTCTATTGAGTTGATATATTGTTTAGTTTATTGTGTTCGCAAACTATAGAGGCTTTAGAGTAGAAAAGAGGTGTTTTGCGCTCGAGAGAGCTTAGAGTGTGTTTATGCCGTTATCTGTGGTCTTCCAAACGTTTTATATACGGATGATCTGCTCAGTACTCAACTCTACTCTAACCCACAATACATTCTCACATATACTGCACACCACTGTTAGCACTGGATTTCCCAATTGAAGATAACGTTCTGTTCAATGCATTCACTAATATATATCAGGAGAGAGAGAGAGAGAGAGAGAGAGAGAGAGAGTCGTTGAATGAGAAAAGAGGATCACTTTATATAAAGTAAAGAATAGACGGGCGGGCGGGCCGTCCACTACATTCATACAAACTATTATATTGCAATGTATGGCCGTATATATGGCTGAATAGTATGGGCCCAACAAATACAGTGAGTGCTGTGAAGCACTGGAGAGTACAGAATAATACATTGTTTGCGGTTTTCTTTTGTTGCCATCACTGAGAAAGTGAAGTAAAGTAAAGTTAACGCAATAAAAGCTATTTCGTAGGCTATATATACAGCATATATACAGCATATATACAGCACTGTTAGTTTGTGTCAGTGCTTTCATTGACACCTTTCCTTTCATAGCCACACAGAGACACACAAAACATTTTCTCGATCACAACCGCTTTCATTGTTCTTTACGTGAGATATACGATGCTCTCAATGCTCTCTCAATGCTCTCTCAAATCTCCTCCACATACAAACACCACCACCACTACCACCAACACTGCTTCTCCTCCCTGTCGTATTCATTCCCATTCATACATAAAATATATTTATTTCAAAAAATAAAGAAATGATATTAAATTCTAACAAAAAATATTTGTAAAATACGACTCAATACACACCCAATTCATGTTTGAATATTATGTTTGTATTGAAACGAACAGAATATTAAATACTCGATGGGCTGTGATCTACACAAATAATTTAATATTCATAAGATTTGTATGTTTTGCAAAGTCTTTGAAAATGAATTAATATATAGTGTGGTTAAGGGATGCGGAGATAAGACATTGAGATACAGACACCAAATGCTGAGACATCTTTGGTGGCGAACTATACACTCAAAACATATACTTTTTTTGATGTAATATTGTATTGAATTGAATTGAATGAAGAGACAGAGAATGCAATTACTTTGTATTGCCTTATAGTGTAGTATTATATTAACAAAACATACGTTTCATAATATATTGTACTAATGAATGGTTTGATGCAATGTTTATCTGTTGTTCACAATTCCTATTCATTCATTCAATTGTTCATTGAAGCGAACAATTGGTTTTTTGAGGCAAACTTACGATAAAAATGTGAATTTAAAGCAAAATTCTAGAGTCTATTCCTATAATAAATTCAAAGTAAAGTGCATTTTGTGGCGAATAAAAGAAATATCGCTTCTTCTCTGGTCTGCGGTTTTGTGATATTAAAGAGTGAGCGATGAAAATGCATCACATCCTACACTATACCATATATTCTCTATCATATATTTAGTATTTATATATATGTGTATAGAAGTGGTCGTATATATCTTAATCCTCTTATAGCGGGTATTCATTACTCTTATGGAAGTGAACATATCGTATATTATATAATATATATTATATTATATACGGTATACTGTAGTCCATACTATTAACGATGATTGGGTGCCATTGGTTGTTGAGGATAGGCATCAATAAACTTATAATTTAATGGTCAATATAAATGAAGTGAAACCAAGATTGAACTGTTGGACAGATCGATATATTTGGCACATTCTGTACATACAGTACAATGCAATTGCGTTTTTCTCTCTCCCTTTTCCACTAATATAATAGCGCCTTTCGGTCGTAACCTTTCATATAAACCATTCATTTGACTCTTCATATTCTGTATTGCATTTCTAAACACAATAATAGAGAGTCTTTGAAGTACTAGATATTCGTTGCCATCACTTATAATAACATATTATATCAATATTAACGACTAGAATACTCAATATATTTATGATTTTCATTAACTGTTTTTTTATAAAACTTTATAAAAAAATGTTAAATAAATTCATTTAAAGTAATCGTGTATACAATCAATAATACATTTATTGCAAACAATTAACGTTTACTTTAAACACATTAAACTTATGTAATCAAAAGATTTAAGGCAATCGTCAGAAATAAATACATAGAGAGAGAGAGAGAGAGAGAGAGAGAGAGACATAAATATATTTGTTTAACATTTAGTTTGACTACAGAATACAGTACAACACATAGACATACATCATATGAGACAAGCCATGAGAATATATACTTTTCTCTCTAACTATCTCTCTATTGGAAATGCATTCCATATAATAATAATGAGTATAGCATTGCTTTAAATATATAATTAGTTTAAAACTTATATAAATATATATATGAGTGCCAAATGAGACTCATTAACATAACTATATTATTAACATAATTACAAATTACTCACAATTTTTGTCACTCATTTCTAATTAGATTTTCGATTATATATAGATTGATATAATTATAAATAATTACAGTTATAATACAAATTATGAAATCATGAGAAATCAAATTCAAATAATTATAAATTTAATGAAAAATTATATCACTTTTGTAATGACCGGTGAGAAAGAATGTCTTCAAATATAATATAACTTATATATTGATCTATAATTTTTCAAAAATCCAAAGAACAATTTAAATTCATTTTTTTAGTGATAGAGTGAACAAAAAAATAATAAAAATGAGAGATAAATAGAGAAAAAGTTGTAATTTATTGTATTTGTTGTAAATTCAAACAGTTATTACATTATTGAACAAAAATAGTAAAAGTATTTCTGAATAAAGAATTTATATCCAAACCATTGTATTGAGAGTTTTGAAAGCGATTTTCTCTGCATTTAATTTGTTTTTGTGCCATAACTGATGGAAATACATATGTCTTTGAAATGAAAATGTAATGTAAAGAATGAAAAATCAACATTTACTGTAAAGTTCCTCTTATTATAATGTATAACAATATAATAGAAAATATGACAAAAAAGAGAAATAA